CAAAATCCTATATTATTATATTCCTCATATTAAGGGAGTGTTTGTTTAATCTTTTAAAACATCTTTTAGCTTTTAGGAAAAGATAAAAAGGCAAAAGATGTTTGGTAATCTTATAAAAACTACTTTTTTATACAAGGAAAATGAACTTTTTGGAAAAGTCATAGAAACCTGACTTTTCATAACTTTTCCAAAAAGGATTTTTGCCCTTTCAAAAGCTTAGCCAAACACCCCCTAACACCTTACATGTCATGCAATTTAGAAACCTGCACACAAGTATATATATATATATATATATATATATATATATATATATATATATATATGTGTGTGTGTGTGTTCATAATTTTTTAGAATGATTAGAATGAGATGCATCATATTTTTCAAAGCAAAAGTCATACTTCACCATTTTTTTTTTAATTAACCGTTTTCATCATCAAGTTCTCACCAAATTTAGCTCCAATGGTTATAGTGGGGGGGGTTGGATATAGAAGATAGAGTCATCATAGATGATTGGACCTGCGACATAAATATTTTTCCGTACTCTTCTTGTGCTTTGAAAGAAAAAGATCTTTATAAAAATTCAATTTTAAGGAAAATAAAGTGAGGAAAAATAATTATATTCTTCTAAATCTTGGCATCATCAAGAAAGCAATATCTATTTTGAAGTCCAATGGCGGCCATATATGTTATTGTAGTATTTTTTACCTTAAAAAAGGTTAGGTAATGTTTGAACTTTGAATAATTCCTGTAATTTTAAACTATAATAATAATTATTTATTTAGTAAAAAGTGACTGTGATTGTGATTTCTTATTTACTAAGGTAAAAATATATAATGTAATAGGATATTGAAAAAATGAATAAACAATGTAATAAAGTGAGCAAAATAATAGAATGAATGAATATGTTTCACTATTATGTTTGGTTAGTCTGAAATTATGAAATAGCTGTTCAAAAATATTGTTTGTTATTAACAAACAGTAAACTAAATAAAATAAAATTAATAAATAATAAAAATAAATATTCTTTATAAAAACAATTTTAAATTAAACAAAAATAAATCGTAATTATAAATTACATCAATTTGTATTCATTGAAGTATATACATAAATAAAGTTAATTTATAATTGTAACCTATATTTATAGTTCTAAAAAAGAATCATATTTTATTTTCGATTAACACCTACTAAACACTCCTATGGTTTCAAAAACTAATAATAACATTTATATGACCATAATTTCTACTCATTTGTAATTAGTTAATTTGATTTCAAATTTTCTAAGCATTGTCCTCGCTTTAGAAACATACTTCCAAAAAATATCGGAAATTACTGTTGAATCTTGATCAAATCCTAGCAGCCTAAATAAACACCTTGACCCACTTCCTCTTATTGGCCCATGTCTCTCATGTCTTATCTCTCTAACTTGATTCGTGATTTACAATATTCTCATGAGTCATGTCCCACAAATAACATTGCCTTGGCCCAACCCAATACATATCTATGTTAGCATATTTTGAGTAAATTAAAGAAATTGTCTTCTTATTATAGTAAATATTATAATTTCGGTTAAATTTTTTATTTTATTTTTATGGATAATCTTCAAAAATACATATATTAAAAATAATTAAATAATAATAAAAATAACAAATAATAAATACGAAAATATGAAATTTAAAGTATATGTGGATTGTAATGTGCACAAAACAATTATTTCATAATGACTTAACGTTTATTTTTAGACAAAATTGCAATAATGGTTCCTGTGGTATGTTAAAACTAGTAACTTTGATCCAAAATTGGTTTGGCTTGTAAGCATGGTCCAATAGTTTCGTTTTGTTGCGAGTTTAGTCCAAAAATTATAAAACTTTTTATAATGACGGATTTTCCCTTGGTATTTTCCCTTTTTCAATTTTTTATTATAGAAATCAAAAAAGAAAAAGAAAAAATCTCTCTCTCTCTCTCTCTCAAATACACCAAGTAATTCCATCCCGTCTTCCTGTAAATTCTTGGAAGAACCATCGAAGCTAAATACGAAAGAGAAGTGAACTCAAGTGAAGTTTTAATCATCAATAAAGACGGCATCCGATCCCTCTGTTTAATGCCACACTCAGAACCCAAATCATGTATCTTCGAACACATCTATTTCTCCCTACCCAACTCCGCCGTGTTCGAAAATTCCATCTATGAATCCTGCCATCAATTTAGGGAAATCATGGCCACAAAGTCGCCGGTTGACTGTGACGTCGTGATTGCAGTCCCAGATTTCAACATGGTGGCGGCGATAGTCGGACATTCAGTGAACCCTCTTAAAGGATTCGTGATTTTAGGGTGAAATTGAAGCTTTCACCAGTAAGAGCGATTTTGTAAGGAAAACTGGTGGTGGTGGTGGTGGATGATTCCATTGTTAGGGGCCAACGTCATCAAAAATAGTCAGATTATTAAAAGAAGCATGTGCAATTCCACTTCCCCAAAGTTTCTTAAACTAAAATGGATTTCTTACTTCACCTCCTAGATTTATGATTTTCAATTTGGGTGTTATATGACTAGCTAGTCTCAGTTTTTTTTCTTGAAACAATTTGAATTGTAACTACCTGCTATATGTTTCTTGTATTGATTTGGGGGTGGTTGTATGCGATTCAATGAAAGGCAGATCGACGGGAGCTCCGATGAAGCTGGGAAATCGTGATGAGGTGCAAGGGGGTCCATCGAGATCGACAACCCTCTGTGGGTTTACTCTTCATCTTCACTATCGGGTGACTGTTACAGCGAGGGGCTGCTCCGATGGTCTTCTTGGTTGTTCTTCTTCTTGCCTTTTGTTCTAAAAAATGTTGAATCAAGACTTGTTCAATCAAATTCCAAAGAGAGATATTGTTCCAAATGTTAAGTCTTACAAGATTAAGATGTATGGATTGTGTAGAAAGAGTTCGATATTGGATGTTTTTGGAAAACATCATGGACAGAATAGGGGATAGAGAAAAACGATAAACATGTGGTGATGGGCTTTTGTTTGATTTTATATCTGCAAGTCTGAAGCAAGAAGAAAACTCTCGATTTGTAGGTTTGAATCAAGAAGCAAGCACTTTCTATTTGCAGGTGAAGGTGATGGAGATGGGTTCGACTATTGTATGTGTGTGTGTGAGAGAGAGAGAGAAAGAAAGAGAGGGACATAGTGATAGATTTTATTTTTGTTTGTTTTTTAATTGTTGTAGTAAAAGAAAAATGAGAAATAAAATAATAAGGGGCAAATTCGTCATTATAGAAAAGCTTATAGGAAATTGGACTAAGCTCGCAACAAAACGAAACTATTGGACCATCCCTACGAGCCAAACTCCTTTTGGACAAAAGTTGCTATTTTTAACATATCATAAAACCATTTTTGCAATTTTGTCTTATTTTTAACAATGTTACTAATAAAATCGCAACAAACCGAAACCACTAGAATTGTTCATATACAAAATCTTAAGAGTTAAAATGATTTCTGTTAATATTAATTATATATTTATTGATTTTTGGACCATGTAAATTCTTTAGAATATGTAAAAGATGAAAAGGAAAAAAAAAAAAAAAGTTTATACTTTTAGAATACAAAGAGGATGATGCCAACATGAAATATTCTCATGACGCCGTCAGTCACGGCGCCACCTAAACGCGTAAAACAATCGCCGTTTTCGTGGGTCCCGCTCCTTCCTACTAAGTGGATTCCTACTACTCCTATTAATAAAATGTTAGCGTATTTAATTGATGTGTTTTAGTTTTTATTAAAACAGCATTGAAACTCTTTTTTACAATATTTCAAGAGTATTGAAAGCTGTTCTTTTAAGTATTAATTAATCAATTCATAAAATTACAAAGTACAAACCCTCCACTACTTCTGACTATTGTAACTAAAGCTCACGGAATGTTTGGTATGCGTAATTTTATTAAGAAAAAGATGTATTTTATAAATGTCAAACTAAATAATACTAATTTAATTTCGTAAAAAAAATATTGACAAAATTTTATAACTCTTTTCTTATTTTTTTAGTATAAAGATGTATGACAAAAATTCAATCTGAATTACTAACATTAAATACTTATTTATTTATTGTGTGCTTTTGTTATTGAATATTTAAATCTATTTTCCCTCTAAATTCTGGCAACGTGCTGGGTTGTCATATTGTCCCTTTGATGATTATCTGACTTTTATTCTTGCCGGTGCCTTCTACAAAACCATAAATATTTAGTATTATTTAATATTTAAAATTCTTAGTCTTTTGTTTCTAAAGGGATCACTTTCTACTTTTTGGTATATTATTTTCCAGTCTAATTTCCTTTTTGCATGTTGTAAATCATTACATGATTACGATGATGTTACTTTTGATTTGATTTGGTATTTATTAAATTGAACTTTAATATACATGGCTTTAAAAAGAAAATTGGTGCACCAACAATATCCATCCAAACCGTGTTAACATGTTATATGCCCTACAAATTATCATATTAATATGTTCTACTATTTGTTTCTTAAAATGATATTAATCGGTAATCACATATTATAAATAATCAATTGTAGTTTTGGATTTATATTTATTTTTAAAATAAATACTTAATAACTATTTACTATAGTTTACAACAGCTTATAAATTACAATTTTTTATTATTTGTTGGTGTAACCTAGGCTATACACATGTTACTCGTGAATGTAAGTAAAAATGTTGCTCATTTCATTTTATTATTATTTATTTAAACATTTTTTAGTTTTGGAATGGAAGTAACAGAAAAAAGCCAGGGAAGCAAAGGAACTTTAACATGGGTTGGGTGGCAGGTGAATCAATTTCTCTAATATTAGTTCAGAAAATAATTAAAATATGCATACAAAATCAATTGAATTTAATAAAAAAAAAATACTATTAATAAATCCCCTTTATATACAGGACATTGAGGGAATTAACAGAAAACACGCATTGGCCAGTTGGGCCATTTTCTCATACACACTTCTCTTTCTCTCTCCCTCAGAAAATATGCATCCGCCGCGCTTACACTTCCTCCTCCTTCTCACCCTCCTCGTCTCCGCCGCCTTCCTCCACGTCACCTCCGCCGCCGATGACAATGACAATGACGCAGATGATGTAAACAATCTTGTTTTCGAGAATCCAAGTCTCCGGAGAGCATACATTGCTCTTCAAGCATGGAAAACCGCCATCTTTTCCGACCCGTCCAACTTCACCGCCAACTGGACTGGCCCAGCCGTTTGTTCCTACGGCGGCGTGTTCTGTGCTCCTTCCTTGTTAAACAGCTCGAATAGAGTGGTTGCCGGAATTGACCTCAACCATGCTGATATCGCTGGTTACCTCCCACCGGAGCTCGGCCTTCTAACAGACCTCGCTGTCTTCCACATTAACTCCAATCGGTTCTGCGGTACTGTTCCAAAAACTTTCAAGAAGCTTAAGCTCCTTTTCGAGCTTGATTTAAGCAACAACCGTTTCGTCGGGGCTTTTCCCACGGTGGTTTTATCGTTGCCGGTGTTGAAATTCTTGGACCTCCGGTTCAATGAATTTGAAGGATCTGTTCCATTTAAGCTTTTCGATAAGGATCTTGATGCAGTTTTCTTGAACGATAACCGGTTTAAGTTCGGTATTCCTCCGAATTTGGGTAATTCGCCGGTGTCAGTGCTTGTTTTGGCCAACAATGATCTCGGTGGGTGTCTTCCGGCGAGTATTGGACAAATGGGGTCGACGTTGAATGAGATTATTCTCATGAACGACAATTTGACGAGCTGTTTGCCGGTGCAAATTGGAGCTTTGAAAAAGGTGACGGTTTTCGACGTGAGCTTCAACAGTCTTCAAGGGCCGCTGCCGGCGGCGATAGCCGGAATGAGGAGTGTCGAGCAGCTGAATGTGGCACATAACAAGTTGACAGGGGTGGTGCCGGACAGTATTTGTAAGTTACCCAGGTTGCAAAACTTTACTTTCTCTAACAATTACTTTACTGGAGAAGCGCCGTCATGTGTTGCCACCGGAGGTGGCGGTGGCAAGGTGTTTGATGATGGTAAGAATTGTATTGTTGGGAAAGCGAATCAACGTTCCGGAAGGGAGTGTTCTTCTGGTGATGCACGTCCTGTTGATTGTAGTAAGTTGCAGTGTGGTGTTTCTCCATCGCCGGTTCCAGTTCCATCTCCACCGCGCTCTAAGTCGGAATCTCAGTCTAGGAGAAGAACTCCGCCTGCTCCACCAGCTCCAAAACTGTCTCAGCCACCAAGGCAAAAAGTCAAGGCTGCTCCACCGCCTCCTGTTTTTGAGACTTCACCAAATATGAGGTCACGTCCTCCACCGCCGCCTACGGATAGAAGCTCTTCAAAACCCAACCTTCGACCACCACCTCCGACTTGGCAAGTCTCACCAAACAATCGACATGCACCACCACCTCCAACTTTTGAATCTTCACCTGTAACACGTGTTGCCCCACCACAATCACCGCCACCACCACCTCCTCATTCACCTCCACCACCACCACCACCGCAATCGCCACCACCTCCACCACCACAATCGCCACCACCTCCTCCCCATTCACCACCACCTCCACCCCCACAATCACCACCACCTCCACCACCATCACCACCACCTCCGTCTCCGTCACCACCTCCACCATCACCACCACCTCCGACTCCGTCACCACCTCCACCATCACCACCACCTCCATCTCCGTCACCGCCTCCACCGCCATCACCATCACCACCTCCTCCTTGTTCACCACCACCTCCACCACACTACTCATCACCACCACCACCACCACCTCATTACTCATCACCACCACCACCTCCACAATACTCACCCCCACCTCCACCACACTACTCATCTCCACCACCTCCACCTCCTCATTCACCGCCACCACCTCCACCTTATTACTCATCACCACCACCACCTCCACAGTACTCATCCCCACCTCCACCTCCCTATTCACCACCACCACCTCCACCTCATTATTCATCACCACCACCACCACCACATTACTCATCCCCACCACCACCATCCTCATCAGACTGCACTCCCCCACCGCCACCTCCTCCCCAACCATGTGAAACCCCCTCTTCATCCCCACCACCACCTCCACCACAAGAATGGCACCACCAACCACCACAAACTCGATCACCACCATCACCTACATACCATCATTCATATACACCACCACAACAATGGCATCAGCCACCACCCCAACAATCAGCATCTCCTCCACCACCAACACTCCCACCACCACCACCTTTCGATAACCTGCCTCTTCCACCAGTGTTCGGAGTTTCCTACGCCTCTCCACCACCACCTGTAATCCCCTACTATTGATCCAACCGAATCCAAATCAAAACCTATACACATTACATACATACACACTTAACATTCACCATTAATCTTCCTTCAAATCAAAGATATCGTGCATAGTCTGAAACTTTTTGGGAATACGAGGAGCTGAGATTGAAGGTTCTGTTGGGCGTGATCTTTTTTAGGGGCTTTCGTTTAATTTGTTTGTGAAATTAATCACTTAATTTGTTGTGTTCAATTATTATACTTTTTGTCATATTTTCATGTATACTTCGACTTTGGAAATTAGGAAATGTAGCATACTTTCATTCATTTTTATATTTATATGTGAACAAAGATCTATTATTCTGTAATAAAAATCTCCATTTCTATATATTGAGTTCATAGCATATCCAACTAAGTTTATGTGTATCCATTAATTCTAGGAACAACGTGTTCCAGCTTGAAATGAGATGACTTAGTCAACTTAGCTACCCTAAATTACATGTTTACTTCAAAGTCATACCATAGAAACGAGATTTACAAATTTAAAAGTCTTATGTTCATATATAGTAGTTACATACAGCAAGAATTAACGGAAATAAAGGTTACAATCAAATAAGCTGCAAGGGACAAGTAAGTGGCAGACGATTTGCCAACCAAGGAACATTTATGTAATTTTATCTATAGATTAATATCAAAATGTAAATTTTTATTAATATAGAGTAAAAGTTTATTTGTATACAAATGTAAAATATGTTATTGTTATTTGTATTTTGTAGAAAAAAAAATGTTACACGTGGCATATGTGAATTTATAAGTCGGTTATGTTTTTGAAGGAAGTTAGTGAAAAAGGCAATATTAACCAAAGAAATGGTCCGATCCACCCCATCAAGCTTTCTGTGTTTATTTCATTCACTTCTCGGACGCGACAACGGCATCACTGATTCACTTCTGCAGTTCTGCTTCTCTATCGCCTCTCGTCTCCACTAGCCCGGCGGCGACTGCACATCCTTCTGCCTAGGGCTCCGGAAACGCCTATTACATTGTGGTATATTTCAATTTTCACCGATAGAAATTAAATATCGCCCTTTTCTCACATAATACGAGTTTCTTTTCTTGCTATAGTTGGTGTAGTCTGTAGTATTTTCTATGCCATATACATAACCGGCTGGATTGAAATTGCATTTATGATCATTGTTTAGTATGCAGGCAAGGTGTTTGATGAAATGTCTGAAAAATTAATTCACTTCTATGGAACTTTTTAAACTTGTATGTTAAGTTTCAGTCAACTTTGGTCCGGTTAGACGATAGAATGGATGTTTTATAAACTTTCGGTTCCACTTTTTTCAATTTAACAGTCCAAGTAGGGCGTAGAACAGGAAACAAAGGTGGGGTGATTTCTTGTTCCTTTAATTGAATAGTAGGATAGTGTATTGTTTGGGAATCGCCCTCTGCTCATTACTCTATTATTTTTTTTAATTTGATAACATAAATGATATGAGGAATACATGTCTTCTTTTCATCGCTTTCATGGTTTTCAAATGCAAAAGCTATCCAATTTGTCACATACATTTTCTGTTCATAGTAATTGTTATAATGCTTAATCTGATCTATATTTCTTTTCAAGAACATTGAAGTAAGTAATTTTATTTTAAAGGTATCCCATCTAACATACAAAGTCAAACTCTGTTTGTTGACTTTGATAGAGTTGAAAGAATGGCCTTCAGAGTGGTTGCTAGGAGATTATTGAGGAGCAAGCTGTTACCCATGTTCACTCCTGCTTCTACATTGCATTCTCATGCCACTAGCTTTGGTTAGTCAACCTTGCTTTCCTGTTTCTTTATTTATAATTTCTGATTAATCTATTATTTTTACAATCATAAGCCCCTGTAATGGTTTCGTAATACACTGCAGGATTTAAAGAAGTAAACGAAGAAGAAAAAAGCCAACTGGTTGGGAATGTCTTCACCAAGGTTGCATCAAATTATGACATCATGAATGATTTGATGAGTGGTGGATTGCATAGGCTGTGGAAAGATAGGTAAACAGTAACGTTTTTTTTAACTTTTCTAAAAAATATTCCTTCATTTGTCTATTAGGGTTTGTTTTTTTATGTTTGCACATTTTTCAGACTGGTTTCAAAATTGAGTCCATTTCCTGGGATGAAGCATCTTGATGTAGCTGGTGGGACAGGTTAGTTTGTCTCTTTGCATTTGCTATTTGGCATCACTTCATGACAGAAGGGTAAAACAGTCATTTGCTCATAGTCAGAAGGTTCATACATGATACAACACATACAGAGATCATTTATCCATTTGCTCTATTCCATACATCACTTAATGGAAACAAAAAGACAAAAGATTACAAGAAATATAATATTTCTTTTTACAAACAGGTGATGTTGCTTTTAGGATTCTAGAAACAATCAACAGTGTTAATCGCAGAGCCATAGAAGACACACTTGAAGATGATTTGCAGAGAGAAACTCAGATTTATGTTTGTGATATCAATCCAAATATGTTGGATGTTGGTAAAAAACGAGCCCAACAAAGAGGTATCTAACTCTTGTTTAAGTGGTAAAACTGTAATTTTATCACAGGTTTAATTTTTTATTACCTAATTGATGTAGGGCTTGGAGAACAGGGGTCCCTCATATGGGTTGAAGGAGATGCAGAAAAACTCAACTTTGAAAATGATTCCATGGATGGTTACACTATTGCTTTTGGTATTAGGAATGTTACACACATAGAAAAAGTTCTTGCTGAAGCATATAGGTACTTTTTAAATTTCTTTTATAAACACACTTGGGAAAAAAAAAGTTTTATAAATATTTATTTTTGAATCAGGGTACTCAAGAAAGGAGGGAGATTCCTTTGTCTTGAACTCAGCCATGTTGAAGCTCCAGTTTTCAAGCAACTGTTAGTATTCTTTGAACTTGTACTCGAGTGTTTATTATATCATTATTTGTTTATTTTATTAATTGTGTTTGTTTTCTTTTTTGGATTCAGGTATGATTACTATTCATTCTCAGTTATTCCAGTTGTAGGAGAATTAGTTGCAGGAGATCGTGATTCTTATCAGTATTTGGTTGAAAGTGTTAGGCGTTTTCCTCCTCAGGTATGTTTCATGGTTTGACTTAGTGTTGACCCTAGCAACCTTAATGAAAACAAAAAAAAAATGTTGTTAAGGTTTGGTGTAATTGATTTGCAGGAGGTGTTTGCTTCAATGATTGCGGAGGCTGGATTTCAAAAGGTGGAGTATGAGAATCTTGTGGGAGGAGTGGTGGCAATCCATTCTGGGGTGAAATTTTAGATTCTAATTCAAATTTATTTCAAGTTAATAAGATGGAGTTGCTAAAGATTTAGCTTCAATTTGTTTGTTCAACATTTTGAATATGTAGAAGAAAGTTGTATGAGGAATGCGTAGATACAGGAGGATTGCATTGACACAGTAAGATTAATATTTATGGTCAATGTTACAAGAATCTTTGTGGTTGCGTAATTAGAACACTGAACTAATAATTAAGTAATAAAGTTAATATGAATTATGATATGTATGTCTATGATTTTAAGTCATGTAAAATGTTGATACAAGACTCTTTCAGGATATGGTTTTTTTAAGAAATCTGATTTTTGGGATTATAATTAAATAATAGATTCCAATGAGGATGGAGAATTCTGTTTAAGCAGTGTTTTGGATTATATTTTATCGTTTTGATGGCCCTCGAGTATGATACATTCAACATTCACTCGATAGTAAAAATTAATTAATCATTTAATCCATAGTCATACCATTAAAAAGTTGTACACATAACTATAGTATTATAAAAATAGATATTAATGACGTAATAGCTCAATTCATACTATAACATTATAAAAACAGACATCCAGGTATTACATTAACCATTAAATTTAACCACACAACTATTTGATTATCTAATTCATTGAAGGTGCATCTATCTATTGGTTCCATCCGAATGAGAAATGCCCAATAAAGTGATGCTCGTGTTACCCCTTCCGGTATTCTGTAATCAAATATTTTAATTTGGATTTGGCATTGTTATGAATAATTGTTATTTTTATGCAATCGAGATTAATGTTTTTGTTATCAGAATTTATGTTTATGTTATTGTATTTCAAACATCACACCAATCATTTTTAGCATGCATAAGCTGGTCCGGAATATGACATATGCCTTGAAACGTCGACAAAATTTGTTTCTAGAATCTAACATATTTATTTATTGTATAATATAGTACATCCCTGAGTAGAGTGACTATATGTAAATTACTTTAGGACATAAAGTGGTCTAGATTTTGACCCTAACTTTATGAATTCTTCTAAAAATATTTACTTTATATCTATCGTCCAATTCAAATACTATATAAAGTGTTCGTAAATCTTTTATTCACTCTAATATTCCCTGATTTTTATAGGATTGAGTTCATCTGAAGATGGTGGTTTTTGGTATTGTGAAGAGAATGATTGTTATGTTTGTTTTGATCTTAATCCATTTCATGATGTCAATCCAAATCATCTAGGATTTTATCGGGATGAACTACTATCAACTATATATATATATATATATATATATATATATATATATATATATATATATATATATATATATATATATATATATATATATATATATATATATACTAGCCGTCTACCCGCGCAAAGCGGCGGGGCACGTGAGTTCTTTCGGTGATATGTTTCCATTACAAAATTGTTATGTTAAAAAAAAGTACATGTTGAAGACAATATAATCAAACTATGGTGTTATTTGTTACATCATGCATCAAATAACCAATAAAAAGCAACCAATCAAGACGACACAAAATATTAATCGTGCAATACTTCTTTATACACCACATTTGCTGTATAAACCCCATCACCTTTTGAATTTTCGTTAGGGTTTACTAATACTTTTGTATTGCAACGTGAAACCCCTCTGGACAATGCAACATAAAGTTGTCCATGCGAGAATACTGGTTCTGGAAGATAGATACCTACATATGGAATTGTTTGTCCCTGAGCTTTATTGATTGTCATTGCAAAGCACAATCGAATAGGAAACTGTTTCCTCATTAGAGGATCGATGGTTGCTACTAATTGCTTGTAACTGGTATTGGTTTCATATCGATGGATGTGGATTCGCATATGAAATCAATTGTGTTCGCATCTATGAAATCAGTTCGCATATGACATCAATTGAGTTCGCATTTGGTTTTGTGGGTCAAAACAGTTCGCATAAGAAGTTCACGATTTGTTTGAGGTTAATTGATTTTGATTTCGCAAGCTTGGAGTCGGAGATCTGGATTGTGTTCGCATCTATAGAATGCGAGGAGAATTTAATGGTGATATTCAGTTCGCATTTGGTGACACAAGTACGTGGTTGATGATTTTTGGTTGGTTCGCATTTGAAATCAGTGGGTTTCGCATTTGGGTTCGTATCTGGGTTTCTCAAACAACTGAAATGCGAATATGAGACAACTGATTAATTTCTCAGTTAATGCGATGAAATGCGAATGAACTCAAAGACGGATGGATGCAAGATGCGAAGAATTTGAATGAAAATGCGAAGTTTTTAATGTATAAATGCGAATTGGGGAAGAAAGCTTAGAGTTTCGCATTTGGCACCTGATCTTTTCAAGAAATAATATAAGTGGTCCAACTTCGCAAAATGGGGTCATTTAATCAGAAAATCGATCATTCTTCAAATATGACATTTAATCAGAAAATCGATCTAAAAATGAGACATTTGGTGTTTATCGATTTTTCAGGGTCGACGGGTTGTATGAAAAGCGAAGGCTGAGTAATTGAAAATTAGAGGATCGATGGTTGCTACTAATTACTTGTAACTGGTATTGGTTTCATATCGATGGATGTGGATTCGCATATGAAATCAATTGTGTTCGCATCTATGAAATCAGTTCGCATATGACATCAATTGAGTTCGCATTTGGTTTTGTGGGTCAAAACAGTTCGCATAAGAAGTTCACGATTTGTTTGAGGTTAATTGATTTTGATTTCGCAAGCTTGGAGTCGGAGATCTGGATTGTGTTCGCATCTATAGAATGCGAGGAGAATTTAATGGTGATATTCAGTTCGCATTTGGTGACACAAGTACGTGGTTGATGATTTTTGGTTGGTTCGCATTTGAAATCAGTGGGTTTCGCATTTGGGTTCGTATCTGGGTTTCTCAAACAACTGAAATGCGAATATGAGACAACTGATTAATTTCTCAGTTAATGCGATGAAATGCGAATGAACTCAAAGACGGATGGATGCAAGATGCGAAGAATTTGAATGAAAATGCGAAGTTTTTAATGTATAAATGCGAATTGGGGAAGAAAGCTTAGAGTTTCGCATATAAATGAAAGTACGATGCTATTCCTTGTATTTAGTTGTTTTCAATGCAAAGAATAAGATAAAATGGAAGTACGGTATTAGCTAATCTGCAATTGCATTCAAATATTAAGAATATTTATAATACCAAATGTGCAATTTGGGTTAAAAAAAACTTAACTTGAGCTTGTAAGGGGAGATAATTCTCTAGAATAAAATCACTCTTTCTTTTAATCGTGAGAATCACAATCAGTTGAACTGTTGAAGAGATGAAGTAACAGGTCCTGCTTCGAAAAAATGAGAGAGTGGACATCAAATGAAAAAATTATCCAAAACCTATAAATCAGATAAACTAAAACAACTTAAAAAAATAATAAAATTCTTACAATCCAAAAACAAAACCAAGATGAATTAAACACAATAATCATAGTCAAGTTTTGAAATATATTGAATTAACTTGAACCAATATTCTGCACATTGGGTGTTAGGCAATATACTCCTGCAAAAAATAATGTAAAACAAGCTCATAAATTGTGAATAAAATAAACAACTAACCCTAAAACTGGTTGGAAATAGTGTGTGCTGATCTCATCAAATAATCTGGCATTTATGAATAGCTCTAAATAATCTTAAACAACATAGGTGAGTGTAAGAATCGATATATCCATGAAACACAGAGTAAAATCATTATATGACAATTAAGTAAAACTAAAAAAAAACATGGAACAGAGAATTTGATAGAACTATTTACCTGGATAGTGGTGAAGATGGAGATGGTTAGTGAAGGCTTCAACGTTGGGGTTTAATTAGAGTGTGAATACAAAGATAGGGGAGAAGACAAAGATGGTAGACGATGGTGGTGAGGTCATGATAACAGTTCGATTTCTGTGATTTTCACCCAATTCATAACAAAAATTGTTATTTTTCTTGAAAACAAACATTAATTAAATGGATAAGGATTCAACAACTACAGTAAAATGATAGAGTAATAAGATATTTCCTTCATTAACTGGAGTCCATATCAGTACAGATAGTTGAAGATATACCTGAATTGATACAGATAGTTGAGAAATGTCAAAAGGACACAAATACCCTTAGTACCACTTAAACAAGAAAGCTTTACTCTAGATACACTTATACAAGAATATTTAATATACAAATGATTACCCAAAATGTAGACAAACATCAGAACCTGAAATGGAGAGGAAACACCGGAAATTGAGAGTAAACATTGACGATTATGTGATAAATGACTGAAAAGAACACTTTAAAATTGCTAACAAAAACCTGTATTGTTAGAGAACGTTTGTAAATTAATAGTGTTTGCCTCCTGGTTCTGCAATAGAGAGAGAGAGAGAGAGAGAGAGATGGTTGGAGACCTATGACCACAAAAAGAGAATATGTGTGTGCATATGGCTTAAAGAGCACTAACCTTGAAATCGTGTTGGATCCTGGTCCACTGTGACACTTGTGAAAATGGTTGTCTGAGGTTTCTAGAGAGTCGAGTGCGACCAGCTGTGAGTAGTAGATGGTTAGGTCTCCAGGTATGTGTGTAAAATGCGTAACACTTACGACCTCACAGATAAGAAATTTTTTGCAGTCAATTGGTCATATAAGGGGATGGGGCAGAGATATGAAGAAAAAGATTCGTTCTAGACTTGACCGGTGCAATCGATCAAAATCAAATAATTAGAGAATAGAACAGTAGCATATGCTAGATGTCGAGAGATGGGGGTTGTGAACGGTGGTAAGATGAAGTGCGATGATGATGAAGGTGGCCTGTTTGATGGTAGTGAAGGTTATGTGACAACAAAGTTTACTGATGGTGTTGTGATGTTCGATATTCGGGTTTCTAAAGGAGATATGCAAGAGAAGAGAAAGGCAGAGGTGTTTAGCAGCGACTGTAATGGTCTCAGTGGTCAAGGTGTGGTGGGTAACTGCGTCGAATATGGGAGGAATTTTAGAGTATTTAATAGAGAGGGAGAGAGTTCAAGGAGAGAAGAGATGGCGACTCATCTAGGGTTATTCTACAAGGAAGGGCTATAGATACTAAGATAAGAGATGATATATAAAGTTTATCTATAGACCGATTCAATTGGCAAAATCTGAGGAAGACGGGTTCTTCTTTGACCAGTTCAATTTGAAGAAGAAAGCCAAAGCCTATTCAATATGTACGTAATTCATGTTAACCGCGTAAGATTTGGTATTTTTCTATGCATAAACTCATTGTAAATAGCGTAATAAGGGTTATACCTCTTAAAATTTAATATTATTTTATTAATGATTACTTGTACTAACAGCTTAATGGTTTGGACGTCTTATAAAATATTATTATTATATTGAATCTATTTATGGAAATAGTTGGATTTCTATTATAAGGTAGTATAGATATATATATATATATATATATATATATATATATATATATATATATATATAGGTTCAGGTTCATTTGAAACCATTCTAATTTTGTGAGACCGTGAGACCAAATCTAAAAATAATTTTAAAATGCAAAATAAATGGAAAAATCCAAAAATTCTTTTTTTAAATATTATTTTCGGAACTTGAATTAACTAAAAAAATAAAAAATAAATAAAAAAAATTCTATTTTTTTTGAAAAATACATGAAATATTCTAAATAGAATATTACGCTGTACATATTCTAAAAATAATTTTAAAATGCAAAATAAATAGAAAAATCAAAAAATTCTTTTTTTAAATATTATTTTCGAAACATGAATTAACTAAAAAAAAAAATAAAAAAATGCGTCTCACGGTCTCATAAAATATAGGTGGTCTCAAATGAACCTAACCCTATATATATATATATATATATATATATATATATATATATATATATATATATATATATATATATATATATATAGAGAGAGAGAGAGAGAGAGAGAGAGAGAGCTAGGTTCAAGTATTCTAACTAATTATTGTACATTTATCATATGCTATGAGAATGATAAAGAAAATATGTTGTTTGATAATATAAATACGTTCAATCTTACATAACTATTATCATTAACACACATTCTCATTAAGTAAATCGTCTATAAGGTTATTATATTATTATTATTATTATTATCATTTCTGTCAGAATGTTTTATTGGGTCGTATTCTATTAGAATGAAAATGAGTGAAAAACGATGTGTGAGAACAAAAAAAAAATTAACGAGAATGCATGAAAATGACGATATTCTTGTAAGGTTGAACGTATTCGTATTGCTAAACAATTTATTCTCTTAGTAATTTTCATAGCATACGATAGATGTATAATAATTAGTTTGAATAGAATAATCAAAGCCTTTATATATATATATATATATATATATATATATATATATATATATATATATATATATATATATAATGGATACTTAATGAGTGTGTAAAGATTGTAGACCTAAAAAAAACTACTATAAATAATGGATACTAAGATTTTTTAAGTGACAGAAAAAATGGATTGGTGGTGTGAAGACGAAGATTTGTGGGCTTATGATAGAACGAGACGATCTTTAAGATGTTATTCAATTTAGATAATGTTTTATTGATCATGGAAAAATATATATGTTATAATTTATTGAAATGTGGGCGTAAAATTAAGTTTGTAATCTCTTTAATGACAATGTAATAGGTTTGTAAGTTTTTTTAAATCATTTTGTTATGAGTAATGAAAATGAAAAGTACTAGCATTTACGAAAATCATAACACGTTACGTATTAGTGTTCAAAATCACATTATGTATTGTCTTATATAAAATAATAAGTATACTTGAGAGTTGCATAAGTTCCAACCAAAGAGTATGACTTCAAAGAATTTTATGTAGCCTTCCATGACATTCACTCTAGGCAACTCACTTTTGAAGTGTTGCAGTCGCCCCCACATGCTTCTTTGGTTCTTTCCATTGGGTTAAAGAATTCTTGTAACTGTATATCTTTAGACATTGTAATCATGAGCATTTGCATATTATAACGCACTAACTTTTATGTTCCTCGGTTTTCTAAAGGCCGTAATGAGATCCATAAATCCAACAACCGTTCTTGACATGTTGAAAATCACAATGAATTATAATGCAGCGTTGTCAATACGATATTATTGTCTAACTTTAACGTGCATTTCTTCTGATTCTATTGGCATCTATAACACATTAGTATATGTTGAAGATCGTGATAAAAAATAGAAGTAAATCTTTTTTTTTTAAACAAATGATATAGTTCAAAAATACTTAATTTTATAAAACATTTATTAGTTCATGAAGTTATCAACAACTAAAAACATCATAGAATAGTTTAAAATAATAGCTTTATCACGGCTTGACTCACACTCATCTCTGAGAGTTTTATATGCTTCCATCTTCGATTTTAACACCCTGTTTGATTTCTCATCATTATTCGTCATCTGTATAATCTATTGTTTTAATTCTAAAAGTTCTATTAGGTTCGTCATTATCTCCTCATTTGTAAAACCTACTTCTTTTAAGTAACATTCGCACAAGTTGATCGGGTGCACATATAAACTGATTCAAAATATTGCTTTGAATTTGGTATCAATTCGACAAAATCGCTCATACATACGTAAAAATAATGGAGCACTTAATGACTCCAAAAATGACAAGTGATAAAACAGTACTATACACGATAAACACTCAGAGGGTGTTTGTTTTTTCTCTGCAGGTCTGCGTGACCTCTTCTGTCTGCGAGGCGCAGACCACGCGCAGACATAATGGTTTGCAGTCTGTTTGTTTTTCTGAAGTGCGCAGACATAAAAACGTTTGCGCGAGGTCTTCACCATACAGATATGGGATAGCATCTTCTAAAGTCTGCAAGCCCTTTAACCTAAAAAAAAAAACGCGTCTTTTTTCTTTTGCTTCCGCCTCCCGTCCTCGTCCAACCCTCCCAGAAAAAACCCTCCATCGTTCGATCGTTCTCCACCTTGCAGCGACCACCACCGTCGCAACCCTCCTCTCCGATCAAAGCCATCAATCGCCGCCTTCCTCTCCGATCCGGCGTCCTCCGATTTTCCGACCATCATAATCGATTGCAGCAGCCGGCGAACAACAACCCTCGATCGATCGTACTCCACCCTGCTCGATCGTCTGCTCGCCGCCGTTAACCACCCTGCTCGCCACCGGCCGGAGACCGTCGCCCCCACAGCTACACCGGAGACTTCGACCTCACAGGTTCGTTTTTTTTTTCCTGCTGTGAGCTACACGTTTCTGTTATTCCCTTCTACATATATACTTTCTGTTATTCCCTTCTTTGTGTTGCATTGAAGCTATAGTTCAGAATTTATGTTAATTGATGCATAAACATGAGTGGAATTTATGTTAATTGATGCATAAACATGAGTGTAAACACCACATAGACCAAAAATGATATAAATCAACTACTTATTTGAGCCTCATCTTATTCAGATTTAAAATGATGTATTGATCAAGATTCCACAACAATCTGTTGTAGTAATTGAACAGGTAGAATAAAAAGCCTCAAAAGATTGTTGTCAACTAAATTGTGTAAAATAAAAACATTTGTAATGAAAGTAATTTATCTTTGAATGTGAAATTGGATTTGATTATGTGTTTGTGCTTCAATTAGCAATTGAACCTAGATTGTTGTGATGTGTTTGTGCTTCAATTAGCAATAAAAAGCCTCAACTAGATTGTTGTGATGTGTTTGTGCTTCAATTAGCAATTGAACCTAGATTTGATTATGTGTTTGTGCTTCAATTAGCAATAAAAAGCCTCAACTAGATTGTTGTGATGTGTTTGTGCTTAAATATGCAGTAATTCAAAGTTGTATATATATATATATATATATATATATATATATATATATGATTATTGATTGTGTATATTTATATGATAGTGTATATGTATATGATTGTTGATTTTGTATGTATATGATAGAAAGCATCAAAAAGAGACATAAGTTTTGTTTATTTTATAGAAGTAAAGTTTTTTGTCGTTAAAGTGAAGTTTATTTGATTTATAAAGTTTTTTAGAAAACTTTGAATTAAAACACTCTAATTGAGGTTATTTATAATTGAATAAAAAGTTTCACATTATTGTGATTGAAAATCAAACAAAATTACAAATTTGTCGTGAAAATAAAAAATTTTTCTTGAAATAATGATGTTACTTGTTCACTGTTTATTGTTAGTTGGTTATTAGAGATGGGAGAAAAACAACAATGGACCAATGAGCACTTAAAATGCTTATTGGATACTTGTATTGAAGAAGTAGAGAGTGTTGGTAGAAAAGGATTGAGTTTACAGAAAGATTCATGGATAAGGCTTGGAAGAGTTCTTAAGGAGAAATTTGGGGTTGAGTTGACTCAAAAACAAATGAAAAACGCATATGACAATCTGAAAGCCAAATACACTGGATGGGTATATTTAAAAAACAAAACCGGTAATATATACAATTCTCAAACAAACACTTTTAATTTAACAGCCGAGGAGTGGGATGATTTTAAGAAGGTACATATACATTAATATACAATATATATATATATATATATATATATATATATATATATATATATATATATATAACATTTACGTTTGAAGTTGCCAAATATTCTTATACTATTTCTTGTTACATTTGGGTTTAGGGGCATCCGAAAGCTGCTTCTTTGAGAACAATTCCATTGCCTTTTCCAGATCTTTGTGCACGTCTTTTTGATGGAAATAGTGCTACTGGTAATTTTAGGAGTTACTCAACCCAATCATCATCAGTAGCTGGCGCATCCTCCTGTCGTGTTCCACCACTTCAGATCACCGCCACCCCTTTTGATGCAATGGATGATGATGGTGTTGACACTTCTCATCATGAGCCACCACCTTCTGCTGCTTCACCTTCTGCAGCTTCACCTTCTGCTGGTTCACCATATACTGGTTCACCATATACTGCTACACCATCCGGTAACCCCAACAAAAGGGCTAAACCCTCAACTCCTGTAGCTCCTAGTGCCTCACCGTCTGCTTCTTCACCTGATGGAACTTCTGTTACTGCTGACGATTTAGCATTTGAAATGAAGAAAGCTCTACAAAGTTTGACTAAAGGGTATACAATTCCTCAGTGTTTAGAGAAGTTAGAGGTCCTTCAGTTAGGCCCTACAGATCCTTTACGCTTTGTCGCATATCATATTTTTGGAGGAACCATGAACATGAGAGAGATGTGGATGCATTTGCCCGATGTTCCCGAGATATTACGAGGGTGGCTTGAGATGACGGGTACCAGTTTAGGAGTTTTGAAGGATGGGAAGATTGTTCGATGATTTTCTAGTGTTGAAAGTATTTGTTAAGTCTTTTTGCCCTTGTTGGAACTACTTTGTTAAATGTTTTTGCCTTTGTTGGAACTATTTTGTTAGGTCTTTTTGCCCTTGTTGGAACTACTTTGTTAAATGTTTTTGCCTTTGTTGGAACTATTTTGTTAGGTCTTTTTGCCCTTGTTGGTACTTGAAATATGATTAATGGAATGTTTATTTGATACTTGAAATATGGTTTATGTAATGTAATTTTGGCTTGAAATATGATAAATGGAATGTTTATTTGATACTTGAAATATGGTTTATGTAATGTTATTTTGGCTTGAAATATGATAAATGGAATGTTTATTTGATACTTGAAATATGGTTTATGTAATGTTTTTTAAAGTTCTACTTTGTTGATTTTAGGTTCATATGGATCACGATCAAAAGTTACTTCTCGTAATTCTAATGTACCTATACATCCGTTATTTTTGGAAGAGGGGTGTGAAACGATTGCGGGATAATGATTCGGAAATGACGGGACACGAATACACATTGGAGTTATTACACCGTAATCGTTTACAATGTGTTGAAGTATTACGCATGTCCCGTGAATCTTTTGTACGACTATGTGCTCATTTTAGAGCAAATTACTCATTAAAGGACAACAAACATATATCAGTTGAGGAAAAGATGGCTATGTTTTTTATGATGATCGGACATAATCAACGTTACGTGATTATCAAGCGGAGATTTCAACACTCGAAGCAAACAATTCATAAATTTTTTTATGAAGTGTTGGAAAAAATGATGTTTTTCGCACAAGATTTTATAGTACCAACATCTTTTAATCCGAATCCAAACATTCCAGGACATAATAGGAGGCTACGAAGGGTTTTCAAAGGAGCAGTTGGTGCACTTGATGGCACTTTGATACATGTTGTTGTCCCTGCTAAGAAACAAGACTTATATAGAAGTAGGGGAAAGGGAGATTGCTACCAAAACGTATTGGCAATATGTGACTTCAATATGATTTTTACATTTGTTGTGACCGGGTGGGAAGGGGTAGCGCATGACTCTAGAATATTATCAGAAGCAGTAGCCGATCCACAAGCATCATTCCCGTTTCCACCACCAGGTAATTTTTGTTTTTTTTTTAATATTTTCATTTTAATTTGAAAATTGATTAGTGTTTTGCATTTTTTTCAGACAAATATTATCTTTGTGATGCCGCGTATGCACACACTCGAGGATTTATGGCCCCTTATCGTAATGTGAGGTATTGGCTTGGAGATTTTCGTCAAAGACGTGCATTGACCAATAAAGAAAAATTTAACCATGGACATGCAAAACTTCGAAATGTCATTGAACGTGCTTTTGGTGTTTTGAAAGCACGCTTCCCTATATTGAAGAGGATGGCACCATTCCCGTTTGTGACACAAAGAAACATTGCCATGGCATGCTTCGCGCTTCATAATTATATAAGGAAAGAAGGATTGAGTGATGAGTATTTCGCACGATACGATGAACCCAATGTCCCGTTTCGAAATAACAATGTGGCCATTGATGATGATGAAGACGAGATTCCAATACATGGTACTGCAGCAGACCGTGAATATATGACTCAGTTACGTGATGAAATTGCTGATCAGTTGATGCACAATATACATTGAATTGTTTTAAATGAAATTGTTATTGTAAAACATTTTTTTTATTGTATGACTAATTTAGTTGCATGAATTTTATTTTCAATGTTATAAGACTATTATTATTAAAATTTTGGTGTTGAAAAATCATTTTAAGTTTGTAAAATAATTTTATTTAAAATTCAGTTTATTTCAGCAGCCTGTAGACGTTAAAAAACAAACAGTCTTCTTATTGCAGGCTGCAGACGTTTGGTCCACCTCTTCTGCTGCAGAGGCTTGCAGATGTGGTCCGCAGACTGCAGACATTTTGGCTTCAGAAAAACAAGCAGCACCTCAAAGTATCATATTTCATATTCTTTTTCACATTCTAGAATATAGTTTCAATATTTAACATGTTTTTGTGGGTTGCCTAACGTTGATTAAGCTACATACAAATTGTTGAAATGCCTAACAAAGAATCTAAGTAACAAAAAGATTTAAAAAATCACAATAAAGTCCTTGAGATATAAAACGATTCAAAATTATTCATTATATTTTGAACAACTTAAGACAACCAAAATAGTTTGCATTTTTTATTAACACAAAGATATGGTTATTATTATTATTAATATCCAATATATATTCAAAATCTTTCACCTTAATTTTGATTATATTTTTGTAATTTTATTCAAAAAAAATGTAAACCAATAAATAAAACCTCCCTACATATCAAAAACCTCCCTCACTGCCTCTCACACAGTCACACTTCGATACCTAAACCCTTCTTCCCAGCCGCTCAAGTTCTCCCCCGAACGCATCTTCTTCATCAAGGACAATCAAAATTGCTGCATCTTCTCTGTTCTGTCTAATCGCTGGTACTTCTTGGTTCTCTGTCTAATCTGATTTTCACCCTTTTACCTGCATCTTCGCCGTTAGTTGTCGCTGGTTTAGTGAATATCATTCTCTGTCTCTGTTCTCAAAATTTTATGTGAATATTTCATGTTAGTATCTCTCTGTTAACATGCTCTCTGTTCTCGCGTCATCCTTTTGATTTTGTGCATATGTTTATGTTAAATTAGTAGTTCAGGAAACCTAATTTTGAATAAAAACCCTTTACATTATTGCATTACACAGCTGAGTAAAACCTCAACAACACCCTCTTGTCGATCAGTAAAGTCGCCACCGCCGCATTCAGTCAAGATGTCGTCGAGGCCGGAGCTACAAGCACCACCGGAGATATTCTACGACGATGTTGAAGCTCGAAAATACACTTCATCCTCGCGTATAGTCGGAATTCAGGTATATCTTTATATGAATACATATCCGTATGTATCCTGTTTCTGTATCAGTGTATCTAATTATCCGGCTATGATGACACTTCTATTTGGTTTTTATTTTCTCTCGTTTCTACGACAATGTTCTGAAATTTCTATTACAATTTGAAGGCAGAGCTTTCTGAAAGAGCACTAGAGCTTCTTGCGTTGCCTGATGATGACGTCCCTAGATTACTTCTTGACATTGGTAAATTCATCTTCTTTTCTACATTTAGCATGAATGTTGATAAGTTTTCTCAGGTCCAAGTACATGAAAATCTTTTAAGCTGATCCTTTTGGCCTAATCCTCTGCAAAACATCCCATTTATGATTCTTACATTACATGGATATTTTTATTAGTAATGAACTGATGCTGTTTTTAGTTATCTTTCTGAAACAATCACATACTTGAGCTGTTCTTGCTCTCATAATTTGCAGGTTGTGGTTCTGGACTTAGTGGTGAAACAATATCTGAGCATGGACATGAATGGATTGGTCTAGATATATCAAAATCAATGCTTGGTATGCAATCATTTAGGTTTCATGTTCAAATGCTTGAGATGTGGATTTATCATCTATCTTATATATAACATTTATATGTAATATGATTACCTAATCCAGATGTTGCTTTGGAGAGGGAAGCTGATGGTGATCTTATACTTGGTGACATGGGTCAGGGCCTTGGAATTCGTCCTGGAGTGATTGATGGTGCTATCAGTATCTCAGCTGTACAGGTTTATATCATCTTTCAAAGTTTGATCCTTTTTTATTAGTATTAATTACATTGCTCAATTTCTCAACAATTGATGCATCTAGATTACGCATCTTGTTAAAAAGTGATTATTCCAACAGTTTGATTTGATTATGCAGTGGTTGTGTAATGCTGATAAATCTTGTCATGAGCCACGGTTGAGATTGAAGTATGTACAATTCCATTCTTTTTGTACATAATTTTTTGACAACTTCTTTTGGTATATAAAAATCAGTCAAATTTGGACCCTTGTGTGTGTTTGTTCAGGGCATTCTTTGGATCACTTTATAGATGCTTGGGTAGGGGAGCTAGAGCTGTTTTTCAACTGTATCCTGAAAATAATGCTCAAAGAGAGCTAATTTTAAGTTATGCTATGCGTGCTGGATTTGCTGGTGGTGTAGTTATTGATTACCCTCACAGGTATTTCCATCTGTTTTTTTTTTTTTTTTTTATTAAAAAACAAACACAAGATTGGTGGTTTTATGTTGATGATGTTATAAAAGCTACTTTGATTTTATAAAAGCTCAAAGAAAAGAAAAGAGTACCTTGTGCTGACTTGTGGGCCACCATCTATGAGCACCACCACACCAACTGCCAAAGGTGAAGATGAAAACATTTGTTCAGATGATGATGGTAGTGAAGATGAAGAGAACCAAACTGTAAGTCTTTTGAGATCCAAATGTAAATCTTTTTTTTTCTTCACGTTTTTTCTGATACTAAATACTTTTTAAAATGTTGGGGTTTTTTTTTAGGTGTGTATTTCAGATAGGCATAGGCCAAGAAAAAAGCAAAAAATAACAAAAAAAGGTAAGACAAAATCATGGGTGTTACAGAAGAAAGAGAAGATGAGGAGCAAAGGAAATGTTGTGCCTCCTGATTCTAAGTACACTGCTCGAAAACGAAAGGCCCGCTTTTGATTTTTAGCTTCTTTTACATCGATTTTGTATTAAAGATGTGAAATTTTTTAGTGTGTGTGTGTGTGTGTGAATCTTTCGTTTCAAGGATTAATGATTCTATAAGAATGTTATTTGTTTTTCCATAAACTATATTCGTATTATTGTAGTGATTTTGTAAAAAGATGATATCAACATCAAACCTTTAGTGACAACAAATATAACAATTCATTACCCGAAAATAGAATTAACCCTTATTTTAATGATATTCATGTGACAGGAGAAAGAGAAACATTCATCTTCAGACCTTCCTAGCTAAAAACTCAATATCCAGACATTACAACCACAAACTTAAGACAAATAATTCACGAATTTACAGCAGCATCACTATGCATAACGACTGTATCTATACAACATGTCGATTGATACTTCTATATTTTACCCACTTTCCAAAAACCCATGCTTCAAATACACACTTTTTTTCTCCATCGTCCAATTTCTCTACTTCACCAGTAATATACTCAGCAGCACTTTATGATCCAGACACTTGAAACTCTACAAAAATAAATAAATAACTTAATCCATGTCTTTAGATAGAAAATATGAGATAACTCACTCACCTTCACCATATAATTGTTCAAAGCGAGCAACAATATGTTTTCCATAAGTATATTTCTTCAATGAATTGAGATGAATCTTTATTCGACCAAGTAACACTTGATGTTGATCCGGTGTACATGTTTGAAGAACCTTCTGGATAACATAATTTGCAAATTGGTCCTTCACCATCGCCTGCAACATCATCAAAAAAAAAAAAAACATCTATCATCTGTCTGTTGTTTGTTGTTTGCTCTGATACCATGTAAGAAACGTTTATACACTCATTCATAAAAAGGTACTCACCAATAAATTATCGTTATTGTCACCAAGACCAATGATCTCTTCAATCAAGACTCCTCTTGTAGCAGAATCACCATATTCCAAACACTTCTCAATAACATTTGATGCAAATTTATGTTGACTTAGTTGTACAACATGTCCTTTCAACTTGTGTACAATTTGGTTTCTTTCCTCCGGTTTTCCCCTCTTTAACACATGCTACAAATTTCATAACAACTCAACTCAACTCAACTCAACTCATCTCACATGCTGAATCATATATTATAGAAAGTGAGAATTTAGGTGGGCCCCTTATAAGCCTTAAGTTGTGGGCTTGTAGCCCACCAAATTTGGGCTTCGAGTACTTTAAATTTACCAAATGGAAATTAAAAAACAAACCTGAGTTACATAATTGCCATATTGATCTTGTGCCAGAGTGTAAACAGACTCTAATATCTCATCAACAATAAACTGGCTTTGTAATTCATCTGTGGAGTGTTCTAGTACCCTCTATATCAACAACAAAAAAAGATTTAAAGATTTAGAGATTTAAATCAAGAACATTATTTTAAATATTGTTATTGGAAATTCAGAAAAAAAAAAAAAAAAAAAAAAAAAAAAAAAAAAACGAACCTGAATGACACGACACCCATACGGATGTGTTGAAAGGGATGCAACTTGACCACGAAAAGATGAGATTACAAATTTTATTTTCTCCATTGAAATACTTTCTATACATTTTTGTATCACATGATTTCCATTTTGATCACGAACACATCTTAAAACATGTCCATCTAGCTCACAAACAAGCTTGATTTTTTGTTCTAGCTCAATCACATCAAGGGCCTAACACAAATTCACCAAAATCATTAGATATTGCAAAAATCCCTTCGCGAGGGTATTTTAGACATTTCACATAGGAAATATATTTACCTTTTGGATCACTCGGCAACCATACATTTGCAGACTTAAAGGCAATATCTGACCTTCCAGCTGGTTTGCAAGCTCCCTTCTTTGCTCAGTACTTCCATACTCAAAAAACTGGAATACAACAAACTAATTATTAAAAAAAAAAATATAAATTACACCTTTGGACAAGTGATTAGAGTATAAAATTACGGAATCACCCCATGCATACCTTTTGAATAACATAGTTACCAAAAACATCGGTGATTAAACTAGAAGCATTAGGAAGAACTTCTTTAAATACAGATTCCTTCTCTTCAACACTACAGATTTCCAACTTCTGTTGAATGAATCGACTTCCATGTTGATCACCACTGAAATTAAAAATTACAAAGATGACATTATTTCATCTTAAAACCATAAGGAAAAGCTCTTTATCAACTTAAAATTAACCCAAAGTCACAATTCTTACTCACCAGAATTCAACAATGTGCCCAAAAATATCAGAAAGATCAAGCCTACGACCTTTCCCAGATTTCAATTCTTCAAGAAATGAATAGGTTTTAGGATCTTTAAAAACCTGATGTCCACCATAAGAACCTGAAGGTGACCTCACTCCATTCCTCCCAACATGGAAACCGACCCCACCAATTGGAGATCCTGGGACAGGTGGACTAGCAAAACCCGAGGGTGGAAACTGTAAAATACCAGAATTTGTTGGGTTCCCAAAATAGTAAGGATTCATAGTATGAGTATCTATTCTTCTTGAATTCAAATTATGGCCCATGAGTCCTAAAGATTGTTGTTTTGGTATTATCTGATAATCATCCCCATGTGTAGAAGAAATCTGCAAGCTTTCAAGAAATGGAGGTTGAATTTGTAATCCTGGGTGACCATAGAACTTGTTGAAATGTTGCAAATTAACACCAGAGGTTTGACTTTGATTTTGACCAATGAAGCTTTGAGATGCAGTGATATCGAAAGGCATAGGGACATGAACAGGATTTGTAGGGAGGTATCCAGTTACATAAGGTGAAAGCGAAGGTTGATGATTGAAAGCATATCCGGTTACGTATTGTTGAGGAGGGAAGTATCCAGATTGAATCATATTCGGGTAAACAGGATTACCCGTCATCATATATGAACCCGATGCATATGGAGACTGTGATGTCACTGAATTTGAGGGACTTTGAAGATATTGGTTCATGTTAACGTAGGTTTGAGGTTGTGGGCCCGGCCCGTATACTTGAAACATTGTTCTTCGGTCTCTTTGACTTTGACTTTCTGCATTCGGAAGATTGTCTTGTGAATGATTAATTGAAGTTGTGTTAATGGAAGATGGAGGGGGGTTTGAATACAAAAGTCGCCCCGTATCATGATCATCTGTTTCCTCTGTTTCT